TGACTTTTCACAGATCCCTACGCGGTCAAGAAGGAACCTTGGGTCTTCAAATTATACTCAGGCGCAGACTGGATTTCGATGGATTTCGATGCATGTTATACATAAAGGAATCGCACCAGCATTCTATCTAATTATCTGTGCCCTCGTGCTGCACTTGAGCCCGAGTCAGTGTTCGTGTTCGCGAATCGTGCTTCGCGGAAAAGGAACGATTCTTGCCATCCAAGTCAGTCCTCTTGGCCACAAATTTGAAAAGGGCTGAGAAGTTTCGTATCTGTATTGAGGCAAGTTGAAACGGAACATTATATTCCTACGCAGGTTGAAACTTGGTTCGCACCCATGAATTCCTCCACTCAACGCATCAGGTTCAACGCTATTCAAGTACCGAGTTCTATCCTATGGGCTGTGGTTGTGGGGTGGGACTCGGAGCCACCGAGTGCACTAAGTGAGCGCGTCCCAGTGATCATCGACGGTCTCAAATTGTTATAACGGAGTTTTACATATATAATAACATACAGCGCGACAGCACTGGTATCAACCCCCAGCATAATCTCTCTCTCGAGTTACTTCAAATAATGCATGGACGGACACGGGATACGGGATTCGCATCGCTCGCTCGCGCGCCCACGGATGGTGCGGGTGAATCCCATAGACTCGCACTCCTCGCGCTCGCGTCGCACATCCTGCGTCTGGGCACATCCAACTCCACGAGCCGGCAAATACACGCATATCCACTGCGCGCATTCATCCCGCGCTGGCCGACCCTCGACCACCGCACACGGAACAGAGCGAAAGACGCCGACGCAGCAGAAGCTCGCCGCAAACAGAGGAGAAGCACGGAGTGGAAGAAGAAGCGGGCGTAGAATGTAATCGAATGGAATTGAATGGAGTCGAGGGACCGAAACGGGAAGGACTGGACGAATGCTCACCATGCTCATATTTGTACTGCGCGTCGACGCAGCCGCACCCGCATCCACTGCGCTAGCCCGCCCCCGCCGCAACCTGCATCGGCGCGGTCTATACGTTTTCGCGATTGTGATTCTGATCAGCACGCGATTATCTGAGTACGAGACAGACAGCGGATACAAATTAATCGGCGGAAGGAAACAAACAGGACGGAATAAGAATGAGGAGAACTCAGAAGATTCCCTTTAACGAACGAGGACGCGTCGAATAGAATAGGATAAGGCCGAATAGAATAGGATAAACGCGCCCATGGCCACGCCAAAGACAGACGGATGAACATGGAAACGCCTCCAGCGTCTCTAGAGTGCAGAGTCTAGAGCCCAGAGTTCAGATATTGAGTGACGAACGACGCGTCCTTCAGGGGAGGAGAACGGGTTTGAGCAGCGGAGCGGGAAGGGAAAAAAAGGAGGAGGGCAGCGGAGGATGGATGGATACGGGATACGGGATATGGGATACGGCGCGTCGATGCGAACAGGAACGCGTGGCGAGTCGTGCATGGTACGCTTCCGGCGTCTGCCGCGGGCGAATGCAAGAGGGCAGAACTCGCGCCCGTCGCACATCCGCGTCCGTATATCACGCGTCCGCAGGTATCCCGCGCTTACCGCCCACCGACCCCGAACCCCGACCGACCGACACAGAGGACAGAACCAAAGACGCAGCGGAAATCGATATTGTAGAAAGAGGGACGGAGTACAATCCCGGCGCTCGAAAAGGAAAGGAATAACGGGCAAAACAAAACGAAAGAAGGATAGACGTACCGCAGTCGTACTCCCTCCACCTCCCGCAGCGTCCGCCTCCGCCACCATGAGCCCTTCCATCCCCTCCATCCCGTCCTCGTGCCGGCGCCGGCAGCCGCCATCGAGAGGGCGGGCGCGTGTTTCTGCCGCAGCCTTTGCCCGTGCTGCGTCGGTGTAAGTCAGGATGAGAGTCGAGGGCGGGTGGGGGTCGTCGCTATGAGGAAGGGAGTCAGTATCCGGAAGGAGCGAGTTTGATCATGAGCGGGAGCAGCGGGAAGGAGAAGAAGACGGCGTAGAACGGATAAGAAGACGGCGCAGAACGGATAAGAAGACGGCGCAGAACGAACGGATGGATGGATGCGTAGCGCCGCTAGCGATCCAAACGAGTGCACGGTCCGGACGGTGGAGGAATGAACGCAAGACAAGACGCACCCCGGGCCGGGCCGTCGCGTCTCAGGCCGCACATTCTTGGCTTCGTAGATGCAAAAATGCGGGAATCGGAATCGCGCCGCTCCACAGGCCCAGCACAGCACAGGGAACAGGGAACACAACGAAAGGAAACACAACGAAAGGAAAACGCCGATGCATCAACGAAAGGAAAACGCCGATGCATCACTGCCAATAAAAGTCGATGATAGTGCAAAACGAAACGGAGTACAAGGGGGGGGGGGGGGGCGCTCTATAGGATGGACGGGCAAACGAAGGGAAGGAAGCAAACGAAGGGAATGACGGGCAAAAGAAGGGAAGGAAGCAAACGAAGGGAAGGAAGGATAGACGTACCGTACCGGAGTCGTTCCACCGGCAGCAGAAGCAGAAGCAGGCTCTTCCTCCGTCATCCTAAGCCGCTCCATCCGAACGCGGCGGCCGTGTTTGTTGCCGGGGCGCATACTATGTGGTGGCGTGAGCCGGGGTGAGAGTCGGAGTCGAGGGCCGGTGGGAGTCGTCGTCGTCGTCTGTAAGAGGAAGGGAGGAGTCAGCATTAGGACGGACGGAGGAGGCGGAGGGTAGCGCGAGTGTCGGAAGCGGAGAAGGAGGAATGGAGGGGCGGAGAGGAGGGAGGAGGAAGGAGGAAGGAGATGGAGGGAGCGGGATTTTACAGGGGGAGAGAGCGAGTGGAGGAAGGAGGTGGAGCAGAGGAGAGGAGGAGAGCGTAGCATCGCGGCGGCAAGTGGGAAGTGGAGGAGCAAGAATACGCAGTCAGGCAAGTCGAGGGCGCGGAAGGAAGGGCGGCGGAAGCACCAACGACGCGAACGAAAAGAACGGAAGGAAATAGGATTCCGGAGAAGAGGGACATGGAGGGAGGGGAGGGAAGAACGTCCAGCGAGCACTGCGAAAGGAGCACAAAGACGAATACGGAGTAAAACACGCACCCATCTCCCTCATCCCATACCCGACCCGCGGCGGCGGCCTGCATCGAGAGGGCGGGCGTCGGGCGTGTGTTTGCCGGCGGGGGCGGAGGCGCGTACCCTGTGGTGGCGCGTACTATGTGGCGAGGGCGTGAGTCGAGGTCGGGTCGTCGCTGTGAAAGGAGGCAGAGGGAGGGAGGCAGTCATGATCAGGATCTGGACGCGGCTGGGTGAGGCGAGGGATGGAGGGGGTACGGTCGACGCATAAGGAGGGGGAAGGGAAGGGAAGGGCCGATAGCATCGGGACGGAGGGAGGAGGCAAGGAGGATGTGACAGAAGGGAGATATGGAGAGCACGTGAGGAGGGATAGCGAGGAAGGACGGAACGCCGTGGGGAGGAGCGGCGCCGCATGGGAGCAAGCATCCGGATGGACGGGCAGGACTCCACAGGGATGCCGATAGGAGTGCCGGAAGGAAGTGTCGGAGGCGAAGGGATGGCGGGGTGTGCGGTCAAAAGGAAGTAAGGATGGATCTATAGACGTACCGTAGTCGTACTCCCTGTACCTGTACCTGTACCTGTAGCAACCCCAGTCGTTCGCAATTCCTCCATTCCCCTCCATTCCATTGAAGGGCGCGCGCCGGCTGCCATCGAGAAGGCGGGCGTGCGTTTGGTTGATATGTACGATGTGGCGTGAGTCGGAGTCACTGTCGAGGGTGATCAGGATCGGGACGGACACGGAGGGAGGGAGGGAGGGAGCAGGATTCCACAGGGATAGCGAGTGGCGGGGGAGAAGGGATGGAGGGGAGGAAGGACGACGGGGAAGGGATAGTGGCAGCATGGTGGAAAGGGGAAAGTGGAAAGAGGAGGAGCAAGAACCGAACTAGTACTGCGTGGGGGTTGTCGAACGTCGCAGGGGAGCAGGGCAGTAGCAGGAGGAGGAGAGGAAGGGATAGCAGCGCGGCGGTAAGTGGAGGAGGAAGGGTACGCAGTGGAGCGCGCGAAAGGGAAGGAATTAGGAAAGGGCAGCGAAAGCAAGAGACGGAGCCGGGACTCACCCCTCCCTCATCCCATACCCGGCCCTTGCACGTCGCCCGTGCGGATGACGCGCAGCGCGGTGAGGAGCGCGCGCAGGCGAGCGGCGGGCCGTTGTGTCTTGCCCCTCCTACTCGCGCTCGTGCTCAAACTCTTGCTCGGGTTCTGTACATCATGGGATGTGGGTGCGGAGGTGAACGCTTTGGGTGTATACGGTCTCTGTGCGTCACGTCCAGGTCGCCATCGTATCGTCCGGCGTATGTTCTGACTGCCACTGTGCTGGGCGCTGAACGTCTCTTGGGAGCAACGGGTATGTAGGACAGAGGAGCGCAGTGACGACAACATCGGGACGAGACGAGGAAGGACGAGGACAGAAGTGAACGTGCGAATCGATCGATCTCATCCATTCCCACGTTCCTTTCGATTCCCACGTTCATTTGCATATCTCCGATTCCCGAATGCCGTCATGCGCCCACGTTCAACTTTATGCGCCCACGTTCAACCAACCCCGAACGAGCCCGAACGGCGAACGCCTCCTCGATCTGAGAAGCGATCCGCGAGTACTTATCTTGAAAGAGCGACACGGAAACCCGGAATGTGATCGCAGCGGCTAAAGGACGACGGAAACAGCAAGTATACGTGTTCATTTCATCTCACTTGCAACACTGAACGCGTCGGGGAATTCAAGAATTCGCCGTGGTGTTGCTCAAAGTCCAACTCCGAATTCGACTTTCGACTTGCATGTGTTTCGAACTTGACACAGCAGAGACAATTATCCTTTCATACCCAGCAAAACCCTCGAGCGCGATTCGTATGTAATCCAAATTTAGTCGATCCAACCACTCTCTCCAACTCTTCAACAACATCTCTCCCATCAGACCCCCAACCATACTAGTACTCTCCACGATTGCCCCATCCCGCCGGCCGTCTAGCTCAGTTGGTTAGAGCGTCGTGCTAATATCCTTCTGGTCATAGAAATGTTAACGCGAAGGTCTTGGGTTCGACCCCCACGATGGCCATATTATTGTGGGAGTATCTTTTCTCGGCTGGGCGTCGTTTCTTTTTGAATTCTTCTTCTTCTTTGTTTTCTCTATCTTCTTGTTCCTTGTTTTCTCTCTATCTTCTTCTTCTTTGTTTCCTCCATCTACTCCTAACCCGCATCTAAATCAAACCCGCCTGGCGTCAACCCAAGTCCCTCGACGAGTTGTCGTACTTATTATATCCAACACGGGTTTTTTATTGGCATACTTCCAACGCAGTCGAGAAATGGTAGCATGTACGGACTCAGCCTGTCAGTCCTTTTCGAACTTCAGGCGTGCCCGCGGGCAACAGCCCTGGCACCTCGACCCACTACGTGAATATTAGTTAACCTTGGCCCGATGTCAGTAAAGATGAATCAAGTTATCGATTCAGTACTGACTTTCCCCGAATCAAGTCGGAAGTGCAACTCGCATTCACTGCCACTGACGCCTCGGGCATCTCGGCCATGTTCGTGTTCGTGTTCGTGTTCAATCACAGCTCGGGTATCTGGTATTTGATCACGGCTCGGGCATCCCTGTTCAATCATCAACATCCTTAAATTCCGACCCCCCGGATACATAGGGATACATGGAATTTGATACCCAGTGACAATCCCTTATGTTGGGGTATGCCCGAGTATGCCCGAATATGCTTGGATTTGAAAGGAATATGCTCGAGTCTGCTGCAATCTGCCCACAGCATAAATTCTCAAAATCATTTCCAATCAATTTCCAATTCACAACTGATTTGAAATTTCTGTACATTGAGCATTTGTTGAGCAGCCTTGTTTGAGCCTTGTGCATGCAGCTGCATAGAACGTTCGCCCTTGGGCAATTTTTTGCGAAATGGCGGTGGGCGCTTTCATCTTCCCACTGCGCACGGACCAAGTCCCACGGTCCTGTCGGAGTTTTAAACGCTCCTTGCTTCCTACCACCACCTTCCCGCTGCTCCCACCCATCGTCTCCCGCTATTCGTTCCTACGTCCTCCGTGGCATCATCCTGTGATATCTCCTCGAGAACGCTGGCTCGCACTCTCTACAACTATGTCAAGACGGCTTCACACCTTCCCCGCCTCTTCACGCGATCTTTCGCTGAGTAGACGGAAAATTAATGTAGAAACGACCTGGTGAGGTAGTGTATCTTCTTCATCACCTTCCCTCGGTTTGTTTGCCATCCACCAACTCCTTTGACTGCAGCGGACACCGTGTCGAAGGCTAGGTACGACAGTCTCGCAGTGGTAACTTCTATGAAGGACTTGGCAGCAAAATCGTTGAATCCTTGTGAATAGCTTCTCATCACGGCACATCCTCGTCAACTAACCTGTACTCCAAGGTCCTCGTGCGAAAGCTAGCAACTTCCTATCCTCCTTGGTGCGTGTTCATGTACCCGCCGTTGTCCGTTCGCTCATCGCACCGCCTGCTTCACCGTGGCAGGTCGCGAACTCCACATTATGCCTAGCAGTTTTCAGCGGCCCGCCATCCCCGTCCAGCGTCCCGCCGCGTGCGCTTCCTGCTCATGTACGTGTTCATGAAAGTGCGCCACTGCGATGAAGAACTTAAACATGTCTGTCGCGCAGGGCGCTTCCGCGGGCGCATTTTCGTTTCAATTCCTTTCTCCTGGCGTATGAGATCCTTCCATCTCAGTCTTAGACTCGTGTCATTGGTTCGGTGCGTGCCTCTCTCCTTCATTTAGCAATCCCACTGACGAAACGATAAAGGAACTATGCGAAATAACCCGCCACCATGAGTTCCTCATCGCAATGCAAGTCCTTATTCAAGTTATCGAACTGTTCCTCACAGGCTTCACCCCGTCAGTTTCACCTCACGACAGATCCTCGCTGATGAACACCTTCGCCGTATATACCTCCTTTCGCTGGACGGATCACAGGGTTCTCAATCAGGTCGTTCGGTTTCCATTGGTTCCTTTTGTACATGTCTGACCCCGCGCAGGGATGTCCTTCCCATGTTCGCTTCGTGGTAGCGACATTGAAATCACCGATATGTTGTCACTGGTAGTTCCACTTCTACTAAGATCTACTAAGCTCATTTCTTAGCAGTTAGACTGTACGACTGAAGAAAACTCAGACATCCATTTCAACCTACTGGGTCTCCAAATGCGCCCGCCGGGATATCTCCTTGCGTTACACCGTGATACGCTGGGCTACGCCGCAAACGGCGTGGCATCGGTGCGGGGGTGTTGTTGGGTCGGTTCACCTTCGGGATAGACTCAATTTTGTTGTAGTTGATTGAATACATGAGGATTTTTAGCCAATATGAGCGGAGCATATTAAGAAGCAGAACTGAGCATAACGGTAGCATATATAGTCACATCAGAGCAGACGGCAGCATATTGCCCAAATTGCGCGATCAAAATCCCATATGCTATACGGACAAAACTATGCCTAGGTATGCTCAAATATGCTGTGTTTTGGGTGGGCAGATTTGAGCATATCTAGGCATACCCCGGCATAAGGGATTTTCACTGGGTTTGATATCTCAGAGGAATATCAATCCAAAGTTACATGTGAACAAATTTGATTTTGGATTTGGCTGGATCCGGATCAGGAGCCATTGGCGAATATGAACGGCGGTTACTTCTCCGGGAGTGGTGTCAATGAGTGTAGCGATAGAAAGTATTCTTAAGGAAAAATCGGGAGTACGAAGAGAGCATCTGGACCTGGAGTGTCGCATCGAACCCGTTCATCCAGTGGTGGAACGAGCAGTCTAGATTTTATTGGTATTCCGCAGCGTTTATTAGTATTTCGCAGTGGGCCACCGCGCACTGCACCCTACTTTTTAATCAGTTCATACCCGCGGTACCTGCGGTAAAATACGAGACGCAAAATCTTAACTGGTGGAATCCAGACCATCGCGACCATTAATTCTGACTTATCTCTGCCGGCTACACGGGATTACACCTATAGCATATACACACGGCCGACAGAGCAGATATAATCAGACGTGGTGCAAGGTGCACTTTTGCTCCCAATGCCAATCAATCCGGAATGATATTGAAGCAGTGTAATCGGGGTTCGACTCCCCGCGTCCTAATTCCTTGATAGAGACGAGTTTTTTCGCATCGCAACAAAGCGAGATACCTAATATAACAAGAAACAATTCGCATAGAGCTCAAAACAGCGAAACGCATGAGATAACTGGGAACCCGTTCGATTTCTTTTACTTCCTTCCCAGTTCAGCCAAAATACTATCAATGCTTTTTCCCTCTGAGTCCAAGCCAGGTGCGGTACGGGGAATGTTATCGGACGTCGTGCAAGGCGCACCTCTGCTCCCAATGCGAGATGATTCCACATTAATATTGCGGCAGAAATCTAATCGGGGTTCGATTCCCCGCGTCCGAATTCGTCAGGGGTGCCTTTTTTCATACGAGGCACCTATGCAGAAAACGAATTCACTGGGATCCGTTGTTGATCCACGAAGGACGGAGGATTAACGGCACATGCCGACGTTGCGTGGAGCTCGAAATATCGGAACGGCCGAGCGAACCATGATTTCTGAATTGGTAAGAAATTTCAACGGCTACAGTTCTTTTACTTCCTTCCCACTTGAACATGAATACTGTCAATTCTTTCCCTGAAAGCCGAGTGAAATGCGGGAATGTTGCCGGACGTCGTGCACGGCGCACCTCCGCTCTCAATAAAGACGCGGTTCCTTCATAATCGGGTAGATTATGGGGTCCAATTCCCCGCGTCCTAATTACTTCCAAGTCCTTGAAATTCCTTTTTCGCACAGGCAGGATGGAGGATTTTGTCTTATATCAGTCGTTGGATAAAGCTCGAAATATCGGAATGGATGAGAACCCCAATTAGGGTTGAAAATCAAACAGTTCACAGTGCTTTTACTTCCTTCCCACCAACACTTTTTCCCCTCCGAGTCCAAGCCAGGTGCGATGTAGAGAATATTATCGGACGTCGTGCAGGGCGCGCCTCTGCTCTCAATAGACCGTAGTTGATACTACTATCGAAGCAGGTAGATAATGGGGTTCGACTCCCCGCGTCCGAATTATTGCGGCACTGGTCACTTTTTCGTTTGGATTTCGTAGCTTCCGGCAAGATTTAGGTAGTGTTTAACTTATCCAGCTCAACACAACACTCACGAATATCTAGACATTCTAGATCTGAGAGACCCGGAAACCAACCAAATTGATATGAGAGGAGTAAATCGACGTACGAGTATCCTCGGATTTCCTTTGGGTGCTTGAAAGGAGCCAGAAAGCAAAGGCAGTCGGACGTCGTGCGCTACGCACCAATACGTGATGCGCATAAATGCAATCGAAGCAGCTAGGACCCTTGGGATTTGTTTCCCCGCGTCAAGAATATATCCGATTCGGTGGACACTTGGTTCCATGTGCTATTGAGTCGATCAAGTATGAGAGACTCTTAAGCTAGCTAAGGCCCCTGCCCTGGTAGGTGGAATTCTATTTATAGTCAATTCCCGCTGTGATTTCTCACTTTTCACTAGGGACGGACCGTCCGGGCACTCCTTTTCATCGTACCGAACCTTCTATTGCTGATTCTGTCTATTCTGATTCTAAAATGCAGAAGCCACTGTACAAGAAATGCAGAGCGGATTTTCCCAACCAATAATATTATTGTGGTTGATTCCTGCTTATAACCAGAACCCAGAAATATTTCCAGGTTGCCATTTCCATTCCGTGGACTCACTACAGAAATTCTTCCCAGAAGTTCGCCTCCCTTTCCTCCTGGGTTCGATCTACCTCATGCAACGTATCTTGACCTCTGCCTCCCGAAGTTCAGTTTCCCCAAATCTCACATCTCCACTGCACAGGCGCTGGCCTTCACTATGCATATCCCAATTCTCAATTCAAGTCTCCTTCCTGTTTGCCTCGATTTTCTCCTTCCATCAGTGCTCAATGCTGGATCCCACGGCAATTCCAGCACGTCTTGTGCTGTACGATTCCTTCAAGTCAGTAAATTTCGTCGCATGGCGTCGCGCTCCTGCGGAACGTCGCGGCGTGGTCGCGCATCATATTAACGTCGGATGGCATGGTATGCTGAACACCCCCTGTTCACATTTACCCATTCGAAATATTACATAGCTATTGAGTTCCGACTTCCGCGCAGGATCAATGCATATGATTTACGACATGTTTCTCTTTTATTAATTTAAAAATACCCCTTGTCCAGATCCCAACGTCTCAAGTCCACTAATCACGACTACATCGGAATGTAAGTTATGATTCAACAAGTGCGAGTTTACATTATATTCTCCCCAGTCCCAGTCCGCAGCCCCTGGTGATCCTCCCGAGAGGCAACGAATTCGAATAAGTACGGAAATTGCGAAGCGATTCCCGAACGAATAAATACGAAAGAACACAACGTTGACGAAATGCACCTTGACTTACATGTAAACCTTTTCGTTATTCGTTACTTGGCCTGGCCTTTCTCCCTGATCTCGTCTCGGCGGAGGCTCTGAATGTTCTTGGCATGTTCGAATTCGAATTCGATCCCGAGTCTTCACCGGCGTCCAACTGCAGTCCTACGATGCGCTTCTCAGAGCCCGATTCAATTAGTCAGTGTTCGCGAACCGTTCCCCGCGGGAAAGAAAGGATCCTTGCCTCATTCCTGTCTCGAGCACTTGCCGCGAACCCAAAAAGAGGGTGAGCATTTTCTGTATGTGTCGAGGCAAGTTGAAAAGGAAGTTCATTCTAATTTCCTCCGCTAAATTGATTTGCAATAGGAACTCCTCCGCTAAATTCAATGGGTTCAACGCAATCTCTGAGTTCTATATGTATCCTATGCTGTGGGGTGGGGTGGGAGAAACCGAGTGCAGTTAACTTGGTGCGTACGCATCGTTCGCGAATGGTTCCCCGCGGAAAAGGATCATTGCCTCGTTCCTGTCTCGAGCTCTTGCCGCAAAACCAAAAAGGGGTGAGCATTTTCTGTATGTGTCGAGGCAAGTTGAAACGGAAGTTCATTCTAATTTCCTCCGCTAAATTGATTTGCAATAGGAACTCCTGGACCTCCGCTAAACTCAATGGGTTCAATGCAATCTCTGATTTGTATATGTGTCCTATGCTGTGGGGTGGGGTGGGAGAAAACCGAGTGCAGTCATCTTGGTGCGTCCACATCGCAGCTGAGCCACTGTGCGACTATCGATCTGCTTCAACATTTTTACATTTTCAGAGATTAATCTAATCGAGTTTTATACAACATACTAACAAACACCCGTTCCGTGGATGGGTGGATGGGTGGATGGATGACATTCATTGAATGCAGGTAAGAGCAGCCGACAGCACGCGCGTTTTCTTTGCTCGCCATTTGATTTTGTTGAGGTGGAAGCGCAGGCCTCAGAGACAACAGCGACAGCACCCAAGCTCAAAGTCAAGAACGACCGCAGCACCGCCCCGCAGACCAGCGCGAAGAAGTCCCCGTAGCAAATATAGGACCACGCAAGAAGCGATATTCAGGCAAACGCAAGACGCGTACGAGCCCAGTGAAATAACGCGAGTACTCGCGTCTCGGGAGCGGCGTCGACGGAGCGCGCGACTCGGGCGACAGAACGAGGAATAGAACACGAACGAGCCTGGACAGACGAGCGTCGACGAAAGCGGCATTGCCGCAAGGAACAAGAAGAGGAACATAAAATGAAGGAATGCGAATATGAAATAAACATCAGGGCCGCGCAGAATACAGCCGTATCGCTGTCCCTCTCTCGCTCGGCGTACCGGTACTGGTACGAACGTGCGTCTATATATCACACGCGTCGCCGGGAAGCGCGAAGGCGTCGTGACGATACGCGCACGTCCAGAGCAGTAGAAAACCTGAGAGGAATAAAGAAACAACTTGAGAGGAATAGGAAGAAATAATATAGGCCGAAAGCCCGCGCAGAATGGATAGATACGGTGCGTCGATACCTGCATCACTTGGGATACGCGTACTGACACGTCGTGTCGTCTCCTGCGCCTGTGCACACCCTAGGAGACAGGAAGACGGAAGAAGAAAAAGGAACCAAGGCTAGAACGACAGAAGCAATATTTTTCAGAGGAAATCAGGAGGAGATAGAGAGGGCGCGGAATGGCAGGATGGATACGGGATACGGGATACGCGGCGCCGCGTCGATACAAATGGACCCATTTCACCCGTACCCGTACCCGTACTCCACCCCGCCCTGCGTCGGCGCCGGCGGCGCCGCCCAGCCGTGGCCCATATATTGTCTGATTAGCATGAGCTTAACGATATGAGGTGGGGAGCGAATGGATGTACAAGTCAGAGAGAGACGCAGTCGGAAGCCCGTAGCATGCACGGGATGGGACGAGGAACATGCACGCCATATTCCGAGACGACTTCCATTAATGAACGAGCACACCGAACAGAATACGCGGCCGCGTCAAACGCGCATGGACATGGAAGCACCCTAGAGTTCACTATCTAGAGTGCAGAGTCCAGAGTAGGTATCGAGTGACAGAGAACGGAAAGGAGAACGAGAACGTGAACGAGAACGAGTTTGAGGGATGGAAGGAGAGGGACGAGAACCAGGAATCCAGGATGGCAGCGCAGAATAGATACGTTGCAACTAGCGATGCGAACGCGTCGCCTCACGCATGGTCCCGTACGCGCGTCGATATATCTGCCGCCGACCCGGAACGAATCACCGCACACGTGTCGCCGCCGCGTCGTCTCCTTTCGGCTGCGGACAAAATCTGCACGCATACCAGCGCACCACAGACCACAGGCACCGATACGAAAGACCACAGGCACCGATACGAAAGACGCCGACGTACGAGCACGACGGAGTGGAAGAAAGCCGCCGACGAGGCAGAAGTTGGGCAGCCGACGAGGCAGAAGTTGGGCAGAATAGGAGCGATACAAAGCGGCGAAAAGCGAAAGAGGCATAGGCATAGGCATGGGGGAGTAGAAGTACGACTCGTAGAAACGGGCGAAGTGGAAGGAGAAGCGCGCGAACTGGAAGGAGAAGCGCGCGAAGTGGGGGAACGGAAGAGTACATACAAGATTAGTAGCATAGGCATTCGGCTTCGCCTCCGAATGCCTATTTCTGTGCTGAACGACTATTGCCGGATGAAGCGATTGATCGGCCATCACTTCTGCTATTTCTCAGAAATTGCACTAAGTCCCTCGTTCAACAGCATTTAGATACCTCGACCCTGACACTAACCGACCCTAACATTAACCAAAACTCTACCTCAAACCCTACCCCCTCACCTAACCTCTAACCACCCCAAACCTTAACCAGCCGCTCTGCGGCAGGAATACGGCAGAAACAGTGCCGCCATCATACTTTGATTGCCCCGGATGATGGATAGGCGTTCGAGGGATCAATAGGCATACGGGCCTCGGTCCGAACGCCTATGCTACTAAAG